AGCCGCGTGCGCCCGCCACGTCCCAGCCAGCTGTGCTAGGGCAAGGCTGGCAGACTGTGTGCAGACAGTGCTGCATCCAGATCTCTCCCCAAAGCTGGGCCCGTCGGCAGACAGGCGAGCTGGAGTCTCCCCTCTCGCACGGACTGCAGCACACTCGGCTCTGGGCCCAGAAGGCAGAGGGGGAGGAGGGGGCTTGGGTCCAGGCATCCAGCCCACCCTGCGAGACCTGCTTCCCAACCATCAAGCTGAGAAGCTAAGGACCGCATGGTGCTTTCCTGACCACAGCTGGAAAATGCTTTGAACAAGACGACACGAGCCTCTCCAGCAAGCTAAATGTTACAGCAGCCACCACCACCGTGCACGAGCACTTGAAGATGCCCTGGTGGGCAAGAGAACCAGCAAAACTCACTGCAAGCCTCATTCACCCGACCGAGGGCAGGAAGCAGGGGAGCGCGAGGGCCACGAACCCAGGAGCTGCCCACTGGCGGCAGCAGTCAGCAGGGAAAGCTCCGTGGCAGGTGCCTCCCAGCAAGATCCAGTAAGTGCAAAAGACGACCACCAAAACACTTCCCAAGCATCAGGCCCTACCGGGCTCCGGCAGAGCTCTGGGAAACACCATGCCAGCCCCAGACAGATGGACAGACGCATCCGCCACGACGCGAGCCCAGAGCCAACCCTCCCCTTCCTCCTCCAGACAAACCAGAAGCCCCCACCTGTGCAGACGCCTGGGGTGAGCCCCACAGAGCTGACGCTCCCAGGTGCCACCTCGCTGCCCCAGCAGAGCCCAGGGACAGGAGAAAGCACTCCCAGGGGAAAACTGCTGCATGGAGAAACCGCTGTCTTCCTCCAGGGCCAGGCCTGCGGCAGCCCCAGGAACAGGACTCCAGAGGGTCAGGGCAGGATAGGGCACGCCGCGGCGCTGGCCTCCCAGACCCGAGAGGGAAGGCCCGGCCTGGGGGTTTACCTTGTCCCACTCCTTGCGGATGCTGGAGTCCAGGTTGGAGAGCTTCTCCTGCAGTTGCTGCACAACCTCCTGCTCCTGCTGCAACCGGACCATTTCCGACTCCCGCTCGCCCTGCAGCAGTGCCCGCTCCATCTCCGCCTGGGCAGACACGGCCACTTCAGGACAACCGTCCCGGCCCTCCTCTGCTCTCACCAAGCCCAGTCAGACCCCACCGGCACGCACAGGCTGGGGAGGAGCCCAGCTGGGCCCGG